ACTGCGAGGGGATCCTTGCGGTTGAGGTCCAGGGGTGCACACTGCGATCCGGAGCTGGCCAGACAAGATCGGCGAAGCAGATTGGCGAAGCAGATTGGCGATGAAGATTGGCGAGGAAGGAAGCAAGGAGGAAGGAGGAAGGAAGGAGGAGGAAGAACAACTGTGATAAAATCTAACAACCCTCACCTGGCAAGTGGGGAACAATATTTATATATATATATGTGAAAAACTCACGCCTGCAACCACAACAACGGTGGACAACGGCCAAGTGCTTAACAAGACCTGTTCGGTGTTCCACGTTGCGGCACCGTGTATGGCCTCTAGCTGAACAATGTTGTGGCACCTTGCAAACCCAGGCGACCGAACCGAACAAATGTTCTTACTGATTAATCAACATGTGTAACAACTTCCAGCCTCCACTTTTCAGCACTTCCACATTGAACTTGCTGGATCCCCGGACGAACCTGCGCATCAGAATCTGTGGTTGGACACAACTAAGTCAGGTTTCGTTGTACGCATGTCTCGCATCGTCTATTCCAAACAGTCATCTGAGCCAGGAATGGAAAAATGTGTTTCTCTAGGCATGTCCACTCAAAGGACGTTATGGTTCCCTGGCCACACGGGGTATTCATTTACATCTTTGCGCGCGAACAACGGTCAAATCCCTTTTCGCAATTTGTTGCTGCATCTGCCGCCGCGCTGGATTTCGCATTGCCAGCTGGACGACTGGAGCTCTGGGATTTGTTAAACTGATTGCCAAACAGTGTCTGTAAGGACCATGTTCATACGCTCTGGCTATCTCTGGCTGGATAAACTTGGTTCAAGTCGACGCTTCCGACTCCCGGACACAGCCCATCATAGCCTGCGAATGGACACATGCCTGGCTGCTTGGCAAGCAAGAACCCCCCAAAAGGGCAACGATACTTAGAAATGGCCAGCACAAAGTGTTCTTCGTCCAAAGAGTTAGGGTTCCACATTCCTGGCAGATTTGTTTGGACTTGCTTTGTCCGGCGCGGACGCTAGGCCTAACCAAGAGACAGCAAGAAGGCGCCCAACTTGAGAGGTTCCCGGCTGTTCTGGCTCTAAAGCTGCTCGCGTCTCAAGTCATCACCCAGATCAGGTCAACCTCCCGCTCATACGGGTGTGCTTCGCTACCTAACGCTACCTTCAAAGTGAGCTACCCATCAAGGAGGTGCAACGCTTGGAGGCAAGTCCGTCAATCTTTCAGTCTTGGCCAACCAGCAGGGAATGCAAAACAGGTCATCTCTGCGCCATTCCCATGCAACAAGTCTTGCATGCAAAGCTTCCCTACATCTGCCCATAATGCATAGCCTTGCAAACTGATGAGGTGTTGCATCCTGAGCGGCAAGCCGAGCATGCATGTCTTGTACTTAATAGCCTTTCGCCACGACGTATTGTAGCGCTCCTGAAGTCCACAGGCGGCATCCCTGGTTCACGGTGCTTCGTGGTAATGAACTGGTGTTGTTACTATGTGTCATTGTTTGTCATAATATGTGCTGTATTGTCTGTCCTGGCGCGTCGAAACATATCATATGTTGTGCTGTGGTTATCTGTGGTGTTTCCAGTATGTGTGTGCGTCGCTTCCTGTTTCAAAGGACACACACAAAAATTTTAAAGACAGGGGGATGCCGGGGATTTCCATGGTCGGCATCCAACGAAGACACCATGGATTTCCTGTGATATGAGTCAGGGACGCGTACCTGCATTTTTCAATGACAAACAATGTTTTAACACCTCCAAATTTGTGGACCACCTCGCCTTTCGGTTCTGCATTTTGCTGTTCCATTCAGTCAAGGGCTAATGAGTGTAAAGTGGAACTTCATTCACCGATTTAGCTCTTGCGAGCATCCATCTAAGTGTGTGTCGCCACAGAGTCCCACTGCGGGCTGTGGTGTGATCCCCACCGAGGGGCGCAGCATGTGCATAGACCCACTTTGTTGGGGGATCCCTTCTGATTGTTCCTTTCCTTCACGTTACCTTCACTTGCAACCCCACTGGCTTACATAACTGCGCGAAATTGCTGATTGAACGCCGCAGGGCTTACTGGGATTGAATGCCGCAGGGCCTACTGACTTACCTGCGCATGTGCAAACCACGAAACGACACAAAAACGAACTCAGAGTGCGGCCGACCGTGACATGGGGGAAGCGAGAAACAGGAAGCCTTTAACTCCTAGGTATCAGGTGAAGCTTTCGTCAAGAGAGCACCGTATACGGCCAAACGTGTTATGTCAAGGGAGTGAGAAACGTGAGTGGGTTCTCTTTTGGTCCGTTTGGTTTTTCTTTCCTGCTGTTGCTTTTCGTTTTAGAATTTCTTGAGACCTTTCTTTAGGTTTCAGGTGCCTTACAGTCAAGGGAGCGCCGGTTACGGCTTTGTTTGAGCGCCGGTGACGGCAATGCCCTCGGGCCACCCCAACCCACCCTCCCCCCTACCTCCTTGCACTTAATCTGTTGCTATCCCACCCGCTATCTAGGGTAACAGAAGGAAATCGCACTCAACACACTTGTGTGTTGGTGCCTTTCCTTCTCTTTCTCCTGTCCTAGTTCTAACTACCCGGGCGGTCTAAGACTAAAGTCCCGCTCGCTAACTATTGCATTGAATTCATACTGCTAAGTAGTCAGTAACTAGATGCTGTCTTTCTTTTTTTTTCTCTCTAAGGCTTGTTAGGTGGCTATTAAAGTGGCGCGCTGCTTTTGTCGGTTTCCGGACGGAAATGTGTGGTCCTCTGCCTCTATCTTTCCTTCTTGCCTTTTTTCCTCTTGCTCTTTCTGTCTTTCTTTCATTTCTTCCTAAGGCTTGTTAGGTGGTTATTTAGGTGCTCGTGATCCTGGACCATCCACATCTCGTTTTTCCACGGAAACCCTGCCGAGCGCCGGACCACGGCTCTGTGTGTGTGTGTGTGTCGCTTCCTGTTTCAAAGGACACACACAAAAATTTTAAAGACTTTTATGGTTGGCATCCAACGAAGACACCATGGATTTCCTGTGATATGAGTCAGGGACGCCTGACTCACGTACCTGCATTTTTCAATGACAAACAATGTTTTAACACCTCCAAATTTGTGGACCACCTCGCCTTTCGGTTCTGCATTTTGCTGTTCCATCCAGTCAAGGGCTAATGACTGTAAAATGGAACTTCATTCACCGATTTAGCTCTTGCGAGCATCCATCTAAGTGTGTCATTGTTCTCTGTACATACGATGTGCTTATGTTAGGCTTTGTCATTGTGTGCAGGCTGTGCCCTTGTTTGTTGTCGCATTTGTCATTGTACTGGCCATGCACTGGGTGATGCAGCAAAGGTTACGATAGAATAGGTATCCCAATCCAGTCGGGTGGGCAAACATGATTGTTGAAACAAAACTCCCTTGGTTGGAGTGGTCAGCATGCTTTAAATTGTTGCAATGTGTTTACATTTGCAGCAAACTTGTGCTCCTTGGCGGGTTTCCACCTTGGTTCCAAAACCAACCAAACATTGTATGGGAAAACAAAACACATTCAAAGCAATTGGTTGTGGCCAGTGGACTAAGGTTGCAGAAGAAGTATATATTGACAAATCGCAAACCAACTTCCATTCCTGTAAGCTGTATATTGAAGGTTCAGGAGCTTTCTTTTCAAGTTGGAATGAAACATATGGGTACTGCCTTGGCACGAGCGCAGGGATGCTGTCATGAGATGTTGCCCAAAAGGAGGTCTCAGAGTAGCAAAGCGACCTGATCATCCTAATCACTCCAACCTGGGCAACAAGGCAATGAGTATCAGTTTTCTCTGCGGGTTCTTTTGGTTCACTGGTCCAAGAATACGGTCAAATTGAAAGTACCAGTTCCCCACATGCTAGAGTTAGAGCATAACCAAATAATCCTCTGCGTCCGGTGTTTTACACGCATCGATGCTTACATTCTGGGACATCCAAAAACATCCTCAGACCCACAAACTTGCAACTGGTGGGCGGACCTGGCACGGGGACCAGGGCGACCATGGACACCATTCACTTTTTCCGTCTGGATTCTCGAGTAACAACAGTATGCAGTACAACTGTCTGCCGGGAGAGTCTGAGCAGTCAGTCTGCAAACCCAGACTTTGTAGCGTTGCCAGCTGCACCTTCCTCTGCAAACCCATCATCTTCTTAAAATCATGTTGCTGGAAAATCACACCCTTTTCGGACGTCTCAACAATTCAACAGAATGATGAATAATGGCTTGCACAGGCTGGGACTTCTCACATGGATTAAATGTTGCTGTTGTTTCCTGTTGATGTGCTTTGAATGTTTTGCTGTAATTGAATGGTATAAAGTTAAATGTATATGTATATATACACTATATTATATTATATTATATTATATATATATATATGTTGCATTATGTTGCCCTTTTGGTCAAAAATGTTAGGAGGCGAAGCTTAGCGGCTTAGCGGCTACAGGCTAAGCGTGAACACCCCATGTTTCTCTTGGAATGCAGGTGTGATGAACATCCTCCAAACCAAAATGCGAGTTAAAATCAAATCATTTGGTGCCTGCCAGTCTACGAGTAATTCAAAGCGGTAGTCTGGAGTGTTCATCCCATCTTTCTGCTATCCCGCGCTCCCGCGTAAACACTCGCGATTAGCACCTGGATCTGTTCCCGCAACTCCCGCAGCTCCAACTCTCGGGCCTGTCAGTCTAAACAAAAAGAGGCCTGCATGAGTCCTGAGTCAGTCTTCTCACTGGTGAATCCATTTACGTACTGAGGCAGAAGCCTCCAATTCCTGTTTGTTTCCGGTGATTTTTGGAGGCACCACAGCGTGCCATGAATGTCATTAAATCGTCAATCCACGACTCTGGAAGGCAGCTACAGTGGTCGCACGAAGATGAGGCAAGAACCACAAAGCCTGGGTGATCTTCCATACCCAGAAGGATTGCAACTTCAGTTCAATTTCTACGTACCGTCGTTGAAAATACATCCAGTTCAAAGCAGGGAGACATACTCCTTCTTTGGAAAGGGAGAGTCATGCCATGAGGTGATCGCTTTTGACATAGCCAAGTCGCGACTGATTCGGACTGGTAGCTGCCATTTTCAACGAATCACTCTTTCTGTCCTATGACTCCTATGACCACGAGCTGATCCCTTCCTCTTAGGTCGTTGATTCAATGCGCTGGGAGGAACTGCTCTTCACTGTTCACCTTTCAAGTTTCTGCCATGCCTCCATTGCTGACCATGAAAGTGGGGCTTCTGTGAAAGCATGTGAAAGCTGAACGAAAAGGACCCATACTCTCCAGTGCTGAGTATAATTCATCCAATTTCAGGACGCAAATGAACAAGAACTAACACAAGTACATTGCACACAACAACACATATCTTTACATGAAAGGACCTGCAACTTCAAAACATCATCCCTGCACATGATTACCTATTCAAGATATGGATTAACAAAAAAAACGTACTCCATGGACAAGTCAGCAGAATCTATGGGTTTCACCCAAAGAGCCTTCCAAATAGCGTCCCAAAAAGGTTTGTCTGACAGGTATCTGGTGACTGGCGAAGGCGGCTGCAGTTTTGCGTGCCTGGTCGTGCTCCTCCAACTGCTCCAGCTGGCTGCCTGCCATGCTTCAGGTGAGTGACTGGAGGGGGAAGGCCAACATGATGGGGGAAACCATGGCACGCCGGGACGCCTCTTTTGCAATGGTTGCACTGCAGCCAGCCACCCAGCCACGCAGGCATGGGTGTGCTGGCACCTGCTGCCCAACTCGTGCACCATTCCAACCGTAGGGTGGGCTTTTGTAACCAAGCCAAGGCGCTTCCAACAATGCACGCGGCGCCGCTGCCCAGGATTGACACCACCCAAACCCCCCCCTGTGTAGGGAGTCAGCCCCAAATGTTTCTCCTGCCAGCCACATGAGAAGTGGCAAGCGCCACGCCAAGGGGAGAAGCATGAAAACCCACTGCCTGCACGACCCAACGCAAAGGCTTCTCCTGCGACTACTGCTTTGCTGTAGCGTGCACAACGCCCATGTTATCACAAAGCTGTCGCAGAACCAGTGTAACACCCTCAGCCCTGTGACCAGTGGGCAAATCCCACAACCGCAAAACCATTAAAACCAATTGTGCCAGAGCGATTCCCTGCAAACTTCCCGCACCAAATGCTTTAAACAAGCGAGGTAAAGCAGAACGATCCAAAGCTATGTTTCACAAAGCTTGCAGCTACCAAACTGATGCACCCAGCATTCCAACAGTAGCTGTAGCTGCAAACAACATGAGTGCTGAGTCATGCAAGGGTTAGGGTCACAGGGTCAGGTGGCAAGCCACCAAACTTCCAACCCTCCCAGAACCCAGCACTCCTCAACCCAAAGCCCACGACGCCTCTCTTGCAATGGTTGCACTGCAGCCAGCCACCCAGCCATGCAGGCATGGGTGTGCCCATTCCAACCGTAGGGTGGGCTTTTGTAACCAAGCCAAGGCGCTTCCAACAATGCACATACATCCACGCCGCTGCCCAGGATTGACACCACCCAAACTCCCCCTGTGTAGGGAGTCAGCCCCAAATGTTTCTCCTGCCAGCCACATGAGAAGTGGCAAGCGCCACGCCAAGGGGAGAAGCATGAAAACCCACTGCCTGCACGACCCAACGCAAAGGCTTCTCCTGCGACTACTGCTTTGCTGTAGCGTGCACAACGCCCATGTTATCACAAAGCTGTCGCAGAACCAGTGTAACACCCTCAGCCCTGTGACCAGTGGGCAAATCCCCCAACCGCAGTTCCATTAAAACCAATTGCGCCAGAGTGATTCCCTGCAAACTTCCCGCACCAAATGCTTTAAACAAGCGAGGTAAAGCAGAACGATCCAAAGCTATGTTTCACAAAGCTTGCAGCTACCAAACTGATGCACCCAGCATTCCAACAGTAGCTGTAGCTGCAAACAACATGAGTGCTGAGTCATGCAAGGGTTAGGGTCACAGGGTCAGGTGGCAAGCCACCAAACTTCCAGCACAGGGTGTTGCAATTCAACGCTAGTGAGCTCGTGGACGAGTATTGTCCACCCCAAATCTCCGAACACAAACTTCCACAGGAAGAAACAGCTCAGAAAAGGAACATATTTTCCGCAAATGCTTTTGGCCATCCACAAACAACCGAGGAACTGGCAGATTTGATGTGAAGCCTGAAGCTTCTGAGAGAACATGTGTGGCGGACAAATGTTATTTGCTTTGCTTTATATGGATGATTGGCCAATACCAAGTTTATGATAGACAAGTCTGGGGCTACAAAGCCCATGTATGCCCTGCAACTTGGGTCTTCCCTCCACAATGCATGTGCAACGCATCCTCTTTGCCCGGGCTTGCGCACGCATCCGAGCATTCTCCAAGCGAAGGCGCTCGGCCTCGGGGGTGGATGAGCCAGAAAAGCAGTGGAACACCAACATGACTCTACTTTGGGCGATTTGGAAGAAGGCAAGGCACATTTACTGCAAAGCAGTTCATCAGGCAAGTGCTATAGGCTTGTTTGTGGGGCTAAGGTCGTCATTGCTACCAAATCATCGACTGAAGATCTGCTCTCATCCTTCTGCATATGAGCCTTCCTGGCTTTGCGAGCCTCTTGACGAGCAAAGGCCAAACATGCGTCGTCCTGACCGGCGTCAGTGGGATCTTTACCTGACTCCTGCCGCTAGCCGCTAGAGGAACAAGAAGCTACTAGTAACAAAGGGCATCGCTACGAACGGAGCAAGGACGGCTACTAGTAGCTCCTGGCCTTACTACTAGGAACAAGAGGAACAAGAAGCCGACATTCACGATCAAATCGAGAGATCATGCCCGATGAAACAGAGTCCTTGGTCCAACCAGGTGGTATTCCACCACACATGCGGCGACGTGGCACTTCTGTGGCCCAGAAACACCGACAAAAAGAAAAAGAGCATGAAAGAAATCCGGAAAACAACAGAACCTATATTAAACTCTTTAACTTCTGGGCTATATTATATTTAACTATAACCTATTTAACTTCTGGGCCATCATGGGCCCCAAAAAATGAGCTCTGTGTCTGGGACTGGGTGCTTCACCCGCGGTTTCAACTCGCTGAATTGGAGTGTGCCGACACGGGTACTGTCAGTAGTACCAAAGGAAAAAAGGTAAAGAAGCCCAGTCAAACCACAACTCACAAAAAAATAAGATGATGTTACCCGTTTACAACTTGTACTCGCTGAAATGAATATATATATATATATATATTGTAGAAGTCCATCCCGGAAGATTCTAAGCCGGGCAACAAACATGGCCAGGCTACTGATCCTTTGCCCACGTCGCTCAAAACAAGTTCCTCTCCCCTCTGACCTCTGAAGGCTGCTCTGGCAAGAAGATTCGCTGGGCCCTCGGCACATGACCGATTCCGTCCAAAACGTATATATCTTATTGTAAAATATATAAATGCGTGCTCTTGCGTTTCATTTGCTGTCACAATGCGCCACAATCTCATCCTGTCAGCCGCTCCGTCTCGAGACGGGCCGATCTCCTCTGGGCATCGGTACGCAATGGAGTTCAAGCGAGAGCTCAGCTGCAAGGAGTGTAATGTCTCTCCCAAGGCCGACCTCTGTGCGACTGCACTGACAAGCATCCGACACGTACTGTGTGTTGTCATGTACGCGGGTCCAGGTAGCTTCTGAGGTCTTGGAGGTGAGTTTGTACTTCCTGAGTATGGTCGAACTGGGGCCAAAGGACGTCCGACTTGGATGGTCCTGGACCCGTATACGGGCACCATCTCTCACCTACTTAGTGACTCCAGCAAAAACATGTTGTGACATGTTGGGACAAGAACATGCTCCTAGGTACTGCATGTTCCTCGGGGAAAACCCATGGCTGTTGCAAACATCCGACACGGTGGCAACTCGGCTGAACGGCCTCGTGGGTGGTAACGCAATGATGATCACGGTGCGACTCTTCTGTTGGCCACCCAAGGCGTCCTCGTGGTCAACGACAGATTGATCAGGGACTCTGAGACCTTTGTGCTTGAATGCCTCCTTGAAGAATGTGCCTTTCACTAAAATAGACCCTGTGTAGCACCTTTCGAGCGGCGTGAGAGTCGTCCCGGCGCTGCAGCAGAGTTTCAGACTAGCAGAGACATCCTCCGATGACTGTCTTGTCTCATGTGGAGCCAGAGTTCTTTGAGTACCCAAACCGATCAAGGTTTGATGCACATACAGTACCCAAAATATCCCGAAATCATCTTGTGGTTCGGTTGAGCGCCTACGACACTCATACCTTGGTGAGGTCGGAACCCGCGAAAACTCCCACGTACTCCGTGAGGTCGGAGTAAGCCGTGTGGGCACAGTGATGAACTGAGTACCCGTGTGGCGAGCTGAACAGTGACCTGCTACCAACACAGTTAACAACCTAAGACTTACTAGTAGCGATGCACTTGTTACTAGTAGCTTCTTGTTACTACTAGTAAGGCACTTGTTACTACTAGCGATGCACTTGTTACTACTAGCTTCTTGCTACGATGATTCCGACCGTCGGAACAAAAAACGCATGAACGATTCCGACTGGAAGAAAGCAGTCGAAAGCGGCTCCTGAAGCAAGTGAGTCAGCTTGGAGTTCCGATACGGTACATGCGGCACCCCCTTCTCCTGAAGTTGCAGCCATGGAAATGGATCAATCTGTCTGCAGAAAGAAAAAAATACATAATTTGATAACTTGCAGTCCAGTATTACTCAGTTTGTGACCAGGTGACTTCCAGGAAGTGATAGGATTTTGGAGGGTAGGCCTTGGGACTCTCTGCTTAAAAGGTGGATCAGCCATAATTGATATCTTTATTCTCACTTGAAATAAATTATTATCCCTTGAAGAAATGAGAATGTCTCCTTCCCCTGATAGTGGAGCATCTTCCTCAGCATCGGTGCTTTCGACCCGCCCAAACGTCGCTCTAGGTGCCGCGGCGACGAACATCGTGCGCCTTGGCCACCACCACGTCGGCCAAAGCGCTCAGGGAGCGGTTGATGTGTTGAGCCTCTCGCAGACGGTCCCCCGTGGCCTCCGCAAGCACGTGCTGGGCACCGCACACTGGAGTCCAGTCCACGAAAAGCACGGTGGAGAAGGAAACGTTGTTACTAGCAGTGATGGCCTCCAACCTAGTAGCTTCTTGCTACTAGGAGAATTGACTATAGACCATAAGAAGGTGGGAAGTTCGGAGAGAAACATGGCTCAATAAGAAGCAAAGTAGGGACAGCGAAGCACAAGAAGGTGATGTTTCGGAGGCAGTGATGTTGCTTTACAACAATGTCGATTGCTTGCTTGCTGATTGGGAAGGTGGTTGGTTCCTGTTGTTGTGCATTGTGTCGTGCTTGGCTGCTGGTCCCATTCCATCACAATCCTTTCCTATGTTGTCCGCTGTATGCGGTGTTCCTATCTGCTTCTCTCCTTGCACTGAGCCAGATTGTTTCCTCATTTGCGTGAAACTAGTATATACATATATATATATATGCATGTATATATATACTTTGTCTTAATTACTAAACAAGAACATGCTGATTAACATGTTGAAGGACTTCTGTTTGAGTCGCACTGAAACATTAACAGCTACATTGCGAAGATGGTTGTCGTGTGTTGAGTGGTATGCAAAGCAGAAACAGGCTGTCAAACCCCCAAAGATCTTGCGTCAACTTGAAGTTCTGAAAAATCAACCTCCGGCGGTAAATGAATTGAATCCACCTTTCTAGTATGTCTAGTCTAGTCTGCCGACTACCACTTAAAAGGCAAACCTTGTCTCTAAGTCCCAAGGTACAATATCACTGTCTGACCGACACACCCTGGATATTCCTGGACCCTTCAAACCTAAACCGAGAAGACGGTGTTCAATCCTAAAATCTAGGTTGGAGGCCATTGCAATTAGGTTTCTTATGCTATTCAATTAGGTTCTCCCCACCCGTCGTAGACTTGCTTCGCCCGACGCTGGAGACCTCCTCATCAGGCCTCGGAGCACTTGATGCGCTCGCTACCGGCCAAGTCCACCAAGCTCAGTCGCCCCCGTTGTTCACGGGAGCGGCCTGATGAGGACTCGGAAGAAGAAGGTCTGGTGGGTGCCCAGGAAACCCTGGAAAATCCAGGGCCACTAATCTCTATATTAGAGTATTTACCAGTATTATCCAGTATTACTGTTTATAGTCGAGACTGATAGGGACTGTTCTCTCCGAGGATCCTTTGATCGTTTTGATGGTTTCCAGGTATGGTCCATCGCGAAGGAAAGCTAAAGCTGTCTTGGAGGATATGAGTTTGCCCCTTGACTTCTAGAGGCGGGTTATATCATGCTGCATCCCTGTCGAATCATCCAGAATCAGCGTACAAAGCCCACATTGATGGCATCAACTGCCGGAAAGAGGTACGAGTGATCGATTGCAACGCCGGAAAACTCCAACCAGTCTACCAAATCGACTTCCTACCTTTCTGACTCAATTGTCCAGAATTCAGTAAGGCCTCATGGCAACAATACACCCTATAGGCCTTGAACGACCACCAGCTGTATGGATGGGTAGAGGTCCAGCCACATTCTGAAGTGCGGATTGCTCCGAAACACGGAGCTTCGAGCGACATCTGCAGCCTAAGTCATCGCAGGTGAAGAAGTACATCATCATCACCTCGAGAACCGGTGGTGCCACATGATTATCAGAAATGGTGGCCATAGCATCACCTTCTGGACTGGAAAGCTATTGTCTATTGGGGGGCCGGAATGTTCAAAAATAGATGATCCTACCCCTGAGATCTACAATTTCACAACATAAACAGAAGCCACATCCGCGACTCGTGTCCTCGAGACCAACCACATTCCTTCCTTCACCAACGATGACTTGGCGTCCAGCCAGGTGTGATCTCGAGGAGCGTCCATGCACCTCATTTCCGTGAACTGGCACAACCCAACGGGCTCAGTCTCGCGCAAGACGATTGTGGAAAAGAAACATCTAAAAGAAGGAAACATGTGACGAGTTCTCACCCAAATTCATGTCATAAAGGCTGAAGGGTGACCAAATGTGCACATGTCACAAACTAGACAAGTTATATACAGTAACCTAATCCTTAACTACAAAAAGTGGAGTGCACCCCACCATTAGTCGTGGGTACAAGTGGCAAAAGACCACTGCTTTGCTGCTTACATGTAAAAGGATGCCCTTATCTTTAACTTCACCACCCGCATTGCACCTCTAAACTCCCCGCAAGCATCACAACCCTCTGGACATCTAAGCACCGAAAAAATGCAAACACACGTTCAGCGTCCGCAACACAAACAAGAAACCGCGGAGAAAAGCAAACAATCATCATATATTATAATATATTATATATATTTGATGCGCAACTCTGTATTTAAGTTAGACGTCCTCTACTGAACACCACGCCACCCCCCACCCCTCCCCTCCGGACGCCCCGGCCAAGGTGGAACAGGTCGCGCGCTGTGCTTGGCCGAAGCGGAGCGCCGACTGCGCCAGATCGGCACGACCGATCGATCCAGGCACCGGTCGATCGATGTAGACTCGAACGATATAGCTCCGTCCGGTTCGCGTCCGATCGCTCCGTTCGTAAGGCCAGGAGCCCGGAGTCTATTGGAGTTCAGTGAGTGGGTCTTCCGAAGGCGGCGGGTCGCGATTTTCCTTGGGGGTTCATGGACATTCCAATCTCCCTATCTCTTGAAGAAAAAAAACATTCCCCCTATATATATGAAGAGGCTGTTCAATTCAAAGGGACTAGTGACTAGGATTTAGTCATCCAGAGTCTACATGAGGTCCAAAAGCTTGGTTGACCTTGCTTGACCTACCGACATCACATCTGCGCGAGTGATCGACCTACCTCGCGGGTTGCCGCTGGGTCCTACCTCTGGAAGAAGGAACATAAATCAAAACTCATTGGTTGGGTGTCGCCTTAACTTGAGCGGGGAAACACGAAAGGTAGAGACGGACCGAGTAGCTGTCGGGACCTTTTCTGGTGAGGGACTGTCTCCGGTGTTTCAGGAACGTGCCCCTTGGTCAGTCATGGATGAAACCAACAAAGCCAGAGAGCACAAGAAGGCATAAGAAGGCTCAAGAGGAACTCCGTTGCGGTCAGATTGCGCCACACGGCTCTGCAGAGAGGCTGCGTTGCGTCGACGCTCGTTTGTGTCTAGGTGTGTGAAAACAGGCGTGCGTAAAACGGGCAATGCGTAAACGCTCGCATGTGTACCAGCTATGGTCCCACAGCTGCACGCACTGTGTCAGGATTACAGGCCTGCACGCGTTGCGTCGAAGCCGCAGTGACTCAGTGACCAACCCCCTTGTAAGGATAGCACTGGAGGGGTGCGGCCGGTACTGCCAGGGATGGACGTCACGCTATGGTGGGTGTGCTCCACGATGCGGTAAGATTTCGCCACGCTAGGGTATAAGGCTGAGTCGAATGGTGTTCCGCGACGCGAGGGGTTTCTCCACAGGGCTTTGCAGAGAGGCTGTGTTGCATCGATGCTCGTTGGTGTCGAGCAATATGGTCTGTGAACGCAGTACGCGCTGTGTCAGGCTGCCGGGCGCGCACGCGCGGCATCGAAGCTGCATTGCGCGACCTCATTGCGCAGGGTTCGTGCTGTATTGCGCAACCTCATGGCCAGCGTCGTACTGCTGTGACTGTTAAGCGCATGACTTCACCTTATGTCCAGAATTTAGTAGTGCTGGCGACGAGGGGAGGGGACGGGGAGGGGAGTGGAGGGGAGGGGGGGGGGGCAGGGGGTCGAATCAATTGATTTATCAATCATTCATCACATGGGAAGGGGGGGGGAGGGGGGTGGTGGGGGTGTTAGACATTGATCTACCAATCTTTAGTCCCGAGCAAGCTCTCAAGCCAGTCCCTTTGCTTCGCAAAGCAAACTCAAGGTAGTCCTTACCAGGCTACCTTTCGTGAAAATACACACCAATGTATTCCTTCCCGGCACCCTGTGCTTTTGCCTTTGTGGCTGAACGACTTCATGGTTTCTGGGAGAGACCCTACGTGGAGCGTCAGAGACCCGACGCGTCGCCGTCTCCTGGAGACTCTTCAGCATGTCCTTCTCCCGGGTGATGCGCCGCTGGGTGGCGCCCTGAGTCCGCGGTCCGCGCCGAAGGTCAACGGACCCGGTCCGTCTGTGTGAACAGCAGGTGGTCCTCTGAAGATGAAACAACCGGCTCTTCCTTGGGGCAGGATTTTTCTTGGTGCACCTATATGTACTGCAACTGTATGCATAGTAGATGTGGGGGAGGACGGCAAGTCTTTCATCATGTAGAAACTCATTCAACCAACATAGAATACCAGCTTGGGCAAGAACCAAGATGTAGGCAAACATCACAGTCTCCAAGTAGTCAACTGGTTTGAACCATATAGTAAGCAAGACAAGACCTCAACCGTTTTGTGGTGTTGTGCTGTTGATGGACAAACTGATGCAAAGCAGAAGCTACACAGGATCCGGTCACACAGATCTTCAATATGGTCTCTATGGTTTTGGTGCTGGAGTTTGTTTACTCGTCACTGCATCACCATGCAACATTGTGACGAAGTCGCAAGGTGGGGATCATCCAATCTCCATCAAGTTCAAAAAATGCAAAGTTTGTGCCCTTCTATAGGAAGTACGCACCCCGAACATACATTCTCAAACTCGAATATATTCTAATATAATTAGCAACACACAAGTTGGTTTGAAGATCTAATAGTGTTGTCAATCTTAATGTTGGAAACTAACGCGATCATCAACTGTTAAAACACCTTTAGATGCTCGGCACCCTTACGTGTTGTGTCATATTGGGTCGCAGCGAAAGCGGGTTTGTGCTAGGACTACCAGCCGTTCCGCACACGCCGCACCCCGCCGCGTGCGGCATGCGTTACGCCTGCAATGTGGCACTGCTGGACGGTGAGGACATCTTCAACCTCGCAGTTCGTCGAGTCGACCGGCGAAGAATTCCGAAAAATCTGACTCTGCACGATGATATAGTATATACAACATATATATTTGGTCTGTCAATTTTTTACCTGTAACAGTGGATGATTATGGTTAGTAATATTATACGATATACACGTTTACATATGTGTGTGTGTGTCTTGCTACTTCTTGTCATCGGTGCAGTGTGCAAAAATGTGTCTAAAAAATCGTAGTTATACTTGGTTCCTGTAGAGGTAGTGAGGTGGTGGGATCGCAATAAGTGATTTTTGCTTGTGGAACTGACTGAGTTCCCCACCCTCGTCTGATGGGGATTGCATGTATAATCTGTAAATACATGTTAAGACGATATTGAGATTACAGCAGTCTACCAGGGTCTACCTAATCTCAGCGCTGGATAATCCAGCAGCGAGATGCGGAGAGGTGCTGGAGATCGAGTTTCGGAGCACGTGGCAACCTACCATCTATGCACCCCTTAGAAAGGAGACTGTTTTATTTGTTGTTCACTCCACAGCACAACATGTCCATGGAGAACTGTAAATTCAAACAGCAGCATGGGCGCTGCACAAACCTTATCAGACAAGCACAATCGATCATTGACTTCGACTTCGTCTAAGACATTTGGCTTTGTGTTGCTTTGTGGACTGGTTTAGTATGTATGAGCAAGGAGAGAGCTACAACATGGAAGGCACAAGTTCCAGAAGGAGACTGTGCTCTTCCTCGCTATTCCACCGCAAAAAAACGTGTAGTAAAGTGAATAAAACGCTTGATGACGACACTTCTCACATCTCTTTGTCGCTGGATTTCAGCACCCTCTTGGCATCGTTGTTTTTCTCAATCGAGCTTATAGGAATCACGAGTACGCGGGCTCGCGCAGATTCACCCCAGAAACAAAGGAGTGACCACAAGAATTGGTGACCACAAGAGTGACCCCTGTAACACTGTACACCACTATATATACAGGATTGATTAGGATGCTTCAGGATATTACAGTAACCCACAGAAACTGCTTCAGGATATTGAATTGATATCGACCCCCCCAAAAAAAATGCGCCCAACAAAATGGCCGTGACGTCGTACCGATCGAAGCTTCTTCCTCGCACCTGGGAGTCTCTGGAGACACCTCTGCCGTGAGCAAATCCTGATTTGCGGTCGACGTGTCGAGGGAGGTCCAACGGCATGTCATCCGGGGAGAAAAGGCAATATATTGAGGAGAAAATCACACGGATCGCATCCGGTGGCACGTAGGGTGAGAGATGCTTTCGTCCAAGGGTTGAAGAGAAATCCGCTTCTCGCGAGTCAGCAATGAAGTGTTTGACCCAGGTAGTTTGCTGCTTGAAGCGCACCAATTCTCCATCACAAAGCCTCTTTGACTAACCATTGAACTCACCATCCGTGACTAAACCCTCCCTGAAACAATCATGGTTACGTGGGTTTTCCACCGCTTTGTAGGAGGAAAACAGTCTTCCAAGAGGCCATGTTCCACGTAACTCAACACGTAAGTTTCAGGGAGTGTATAAAAACAAATCCATTGAACATCCCTTGCGCTCTCCCGGAAGTGCTCGTTGTAGATTTCGACCACTTGGACCTCGAAATGAATCGCTCGCGGTCATCGTCGAAGTCGGTGCTGGCACGGTCGACATGGTTTGAACCACGGCGGAGCTCGAGCCCTGTTTCCAACCATACAGTTTTGGAGGGTCATGATGGCCGTTGATGAAGAAAGAAAACCCACCTATCTGGTTTACAATGCTCAACATCTAATGAGGACTCGCGTGGCACCGGAAAAGGCACAACTTAGAGCTTCAGACTGTTCCCATGTTCCACATGTCTTGGCCAAAGCCTTTTTTGAGGAACTCATCTGAAGCCTTGACCCCGTGGTTTGAGGAATGAGTGTTGACTTTTGCAAGAGATCCTGTGCCAGGCGTGGCAATTGTGGGGCTGAGATTGGCTTTCAGAAGGAGCGACTCTTCTTGCCCCAACACAAGGACACTAGGACCCTAGTCCTCAAATCCTTTGCAAACCTGGTAGTTGCAGCGGTGTCCTGTGCAATTGCTCTAAGAACATTCCCATCAGCAAGCTAAACTCTGAACCAAATTCAACATAATTCAACTACGTAGCATGCCGTGCATGCTTAGAACAATGCCAAGGCCAAAGGAGCCCTCCTCAAATTGACATGCTAGATCATGCTAGCATGGCGGGCAACACCTTTGTTCGTTAACCGACCTCAGGTCCCCACAAGGACTTCCAGCTGAACACCATCTTTCTCAAGAATTTCGGCCTGACAAAGACAGGTCTTGGCAGAAAAAGATTGAACTTCGGCGCTTGAATCGATGCCCTCTTTTCACATGGGCTTGCTGGAAAGGGAAAGGATAAAACAAGGAACCTGCAATACACGGGTCTTCCAGCGACCTGTCCCAAGCATGAGGACAGGTCTGGATGGCTCCATACCCGCTCGCCCGCAGTGTGGAGTAAATCAAACAAAACCCAAACACTCCATGTACGCAACTATGGCCTACATTTGGTGTTGTTTGGTGGTAAATGTAGGCCATATTTGCTGACATGGAGCGTTTGGGAACCATTCACCAGGTTGCAGCATGCTGTTTTGCGTTTCATTCAGAAGATTATCGATCAATTTTTCAAGATCGATGTATCAAATGTTCTGGTCAAACACGTTCTTTTGCTTCAACGTGGCCGATCATCACACAAAAAATGGTCTTTAAAGACAAAGAAATGCTAGCCCTACTATCCAAAATTACTGTATTTGTACATGACGGTCTAATCAGCCTATTGTGGATTCCTCCCCTCCACAACCCCTCCAATCTCTTCCACATGTGGAAAATACTTGAGGTGAATTTGAGTCTATATAAACAACTCAACTCAACTTACATCCAATTGAAACAGTTGGAATCAATAGTGGCGGACTGCATGAATTACATGTATAGCCTGTATAGCCGACAAAGAATATCCTCAAGCTTTATGGTCCCCTATCGGTTTACAGGACCTTGGGCATCGGATGCTTAGTGGTCCATCCAGCTTTGGTGCAGCTTTTTGATATTTGCGTTGTGACTGTTCACTCTTTCCCTTGACTGTACATTGACATCATTTACGTGCTACTACGTGCTACAGACCCGTTGCGACCGCCAAGGCCGTTTCAGTTCCTCAGACGCGACCGCCTCGCAGCTCAGCGTCAAGGCCACCCGCTCTGCAAGGTTGCTCACCGTGTGGGTCTCGTTGCCCGCGAACGGCGCTCCGTGCGGCGGTCCGAAAAGGCCATATGACGGGAGGTGGCCAACTGTCCAACTGTCCAACAAGGGAGTCCAAGACTCCTGTGCCATCTCTTGTGCTCTAGGTCTCAAATCTTGGACTTGAGATCAGAATAAGCACCTCTGACATGCGAGGCCCTCCGTGGTCCAACCAGTTGGTGCTTCGCCGCGGTCCATCAGCAAGTTCAACGGCCAGAGCCCCGATCTAGTCCGTTGGTATACCATCTGCGATCATATTGCTTATATAGTATATATAGTTCATGACTTGTTTAAGCGTTCGTTCAAGAACTTGTCAATTTGTTGCCCTCTTGTCAAAAAAGAACAAGACATCTGGATGCACACCCATGTGAGTTTTGCTGATATCCAATTTGTATCTGCAAAACAACCTATAGTACAACACCCTGTCACTGACGTTTCTTCAAGAAGATGCAGTCGTTTCAGTCGTTTCACGCGGTTCACGCGCCTTACCACTCCCTGTGGCACCATATGCCAGGATACAAACCGCCTCGCACAAACCCGCTGAAGTAACGAACAAACCCTCAAGGGATAGCGTCGCTGCTCGAAGTCAGCTGATAGGTTCTCATATTTATGACCACTTGACCGTGACCGCCAAGGCATGTTGATTCCCGAATTCAAAGCCGTTGGATAAAACCTCCACCTACATTCATCAAACAGTAGAAAAGGTGGCACATCCCCCAGGAATTGGAAGCACTCTTTGTAATTAACTTTGATGCTCGTGTTCCAGCATGTTGCCTGAAGATGCCTCAAAGTTGCCTCTCCGAAATCAAGGGGACTTGATTGGACAAGCAAACTGAACTCTTTGGCATGAATCTACAAATGTCCGTTCAATGTCAAACGTACATCTAAACCGTCCCAACATGTCCCATTTGACATTCAGCCGACAGTGCTAGTTTGCAGGCCTGGGCCTTACCTGATGATGTCCCAGTCCCACTGACAGTGCTTGGAGAGTGGCGATGCGGTTCTGAGACCCTTTCTCGGCCCGAAAATCGACCTCTGCGAATCGAAACCTTTATCTCTCAGAACTCGAAGCACACATATCCAAAAAAATCGTGACTAATTCCATCTAATTCCTATCATCACCACTTGGGATTTGAGATGAAGTTCAGCCAAGAGTTTATTGTGGGTGTACTGTCAATTCTCTCCCCGCCAAACATCCAATGTAGCAATTAATTCAACTAAGACTAATGGGTTCATGGGTGTACCACTTCTAGACCCTCCATGACCATTCAACTTCGGAGGGGCCGCCAACCAGTAGCAAAGGGCAACGCTACTAGTAGCTCCTGGCACTACTACTAGGAAGAAAAAGCTACTAGTAACAAAGGGCATCGCTACTAGAAGCAAGACGCTACTAGTAGCTCCTGGCAATTCTACTAAGAACAAGAAGCTACTAGTAGCAAAGGGCATCGCTACTAGTAGCAAGAAGCTACTAGTAGCTCCTGGCACTACTACTAGGAACAAGAAGCTACTAGTAACAAAGGGCATCGCTACTAGTAGCAAGAAGCCACTAGTAGCTCCTGGCACTACTACCGGGAACAATAAGCTACTAGTACAAAAGGGCACATTTTCTAGTAGCAAGAAGCTACTAGTAGCTCCTGGCACGACTACTAGGAACAAGAAGCTACTAGTAGCAAAGGGCATCGCTACAAGTAGCAAGAAGCTACTAGTAGCTCCTGGCACTACTACTAGGAACAAGAAGCTACTAGTAACAAAGGGCATCGCTACTAGTACGTAGCAGGAAGATATTAGTAGCTCTTGGCACTACTACTAGGAAAAAGAAGCTACTAGTAACAAAGGGCATCGGGCATCGCTACTAGTACGTAGCAAGAAGATATTAGTAGCTCCTGGCACTACTACTAGGAACAAGAAGCTACTAGCA